CAAACTCTTCCCTGGGACTCGGGTGACCTCAAAGGGATTCCCCCAGATGCACAGCTGCAGGAAGCCCTGCACAGCAGAGCCCAGCACGTGGGGGATGGAGAGCTGTCCCCTGGGGTGTCGCAGGAGGTGGACCTGCAGCCCCAGGGCCGCTGCCCATCCCCCCGGCAGGCCAGGACGTAAACATTGTGCTCTCTGGTTACGTTTCCCAGTCACAGGAAAAAGGAGTTAAATTCGGTTTATTCCTCCGTAAAAAAATCCTTCCCCCTTCCTCCAAAAAAGGCTTTACTGAGCCTTCTCATCACTTCTGGTCGGCCCCCTGAACACCAGCCAGCACAGCTGTCCGCAGGAAAAGGTTCCACGCAGGAGGCCACGGCTGGGGTTCGGGCGGGTGGTCCTGCACCTGCTGTGTCGGTGTTTTCAGGCCCCAGGAAGCCCAGGTCCACGCCTGGGACAGCTGTCTAGGGTCCAGGGCAGAGACGGGGTCTCCGGCCTGTAACACAGACGTGGCAGGCGGTGGACGCCTGCCTGTGCTGTGCTCTGGTCAGCAGTGAGGCCCTGGTGCACAGAGCCCGGCGGGGTGGGCGCCCGGGGCGGGTGGGCTCGGGGCTGCACTGCCCCCCTCCCCGGCCCAGCAGCTGTCTGCCCCACAGTGTGCCGGACGGCGGAGGCCCAGCCTCCCCACAACCCCTTCCTGTGCCTGGACCTCACCTACGTCAGCCTCCTGCTGCGGGAGTTCGGCTTCCCGAGGGACAAGGAGCTGAAGGTAGGGACCCCCAGCGCCCCTACTCCGGCCCCTTCGTGAGCAGTGCCCACCTTTCACACACACTCCTCCGCCCCTCCTCTTGTCTTTTCAAGTTGACCCAGAAGATTGATAACGTTGAGACCAGCTGGGCCCTGGGGGCCACCTTCCATTACATCGACTCCCTGAGCAGATGGAAGAGCCCAACTTCATAGGGCCGAGCCGCCGGCCGTCCCCTCAGAAGCACTGATGCTGCGAGAACCGACCCCGGATCCCTGATGAGCGGGGAAGAGGCCACGTGCAGGCTGCCACCCTCCTCCCCGCGGCCTCACAGGAGGCTCCTGGATGGCAGGGGGCTGGAGTGCGGCCCAGGCCTTGGCTCCAGGTGGGCAGTGACCAGCTGGGGCCAGGATGGTGCAGCCCGCCATCCCTGTCGTCCCTAGAGCAGGGCTGGGGCGACCGTGACGTGTCCTGGACAGATGTCTGGTTTCATCCTGCTGCTCCCATTGGGCCCTGGGCCAGCACGTCTCCTCCGAGGGTGCGGACATGTGGCGTCACCCAGCAGTCACTTCCTCAAGTCCTTGGTGGCTCGGGGTGAGCGGACAGAGTGGCACTGAGACTGGGAAGAGGGGCCGGAGGAGGTGCCTGTTGGTGGCCCGTGTGCCCTGGCCTCTTGAGGCTGTCGAGACCTGTGAACTGCTGGCAGGTGTCCGAGGCTGTGCTGCGTGAATGATGTTGTCGTGTGGTGTGTGCTGGCGGAGAGCCGTGTTCTGAGCCCAGCGTGTGTCACTGCCCTGTGCGTGTGCAGCCCCGGAACCGCCCTCAGGTGGTCTTGGTCTGCAGCCGCTCCTGCCTCGGACGCACCATACGTGGAGTAAACTGAGCCTCGTGTTCCGTCCACAATAAAGGGTTTTCCAGGGTCTCTGCTCTGATTGCTCTCGGCGAGCGTCCACCGCATTCCTCCGCCCCAGCACCTGAGGTCCTGCTCAGCAAAGTTCAAACAGAAACCTGCCCGGGTGGGTGCCAGGTGATGCGGGGTCGAGTCCTGTGGGTGCATCTCGGGAGACACTGGCACCAGGACACACGGAGGCCCAGGCGGTTCTGGGCTGTGCCCCGCAGCACCGTGGGGCCCGGTGCCTCCAGCACATGGTCAGGGTGAGCGCCGAGCCCCAGGTTGCGGGTTTCAGTGAGGAGCTGGCTTTAATCAGGGGCAGTCAGAGGGTTGCATGCCAAAGACTGGACAGACCCCCCTCCCTCCCAGGGCGGCAGCGGGTCCCAAGGGATGTGACTGCTGACGCAGCCCACCTTGTGAGCCTGGGGGACAGCCCTGACGCGGGCGGGCAGGCGGGGGCAGGAGGGGGACGCAGGTGTGATGCCTGAGAAGTGTGAGAATGAGAAGCACTGGGGCCACCGCCCTCGCCTGGTGTCCTATCTGGTCTGGGTGGGGGCGTCACGGGGCTCCAGCTGCAGAGGCTGCAGGGAGACCACCAGGATCCAAGCACGGAAAATGAGCCAGCTTGCCTCTGCCTGGGGCTCCCCCAGAGCATCAGCCTTGGGGGCAGGGGCAGAGGTGAGCGTGTACTACGGCAGGGAGGTGCTGCCGCCAACCAGGCTGAAGCCCGGGCTCGACTCTGCGGGGGCCAGAACCGGCCTCTCCCCCCGCTCCCCCCACCGCCACCCCAAGCATCCCTACCAGTTTAGGGGGTTGAAGGACTCCGGAGGCGAAGAAGGAAAGTGCACGACGGTAAAAGTGAAAATCGACGGTCCGTTTGCAGGCTAGCGATCTCACCTGAAAAAGTGTAAATGACTGGGCTTTTCCCAAGAGACTCCTGAATAAGTCGTGGAATGTGTCTGAGCCGAGCAAGACACGCAGGTCACTCCCTGGGTGTCTCTGATGCTGAAGGAGGCTCTTGTTTTTTAAAAACAGCCACTCGAGTGACACACACTGGGCAAGGGCCCACCGCACACCCTGCCTTGGGACGCGCGCGCGGCTGTGTGCCCGGCCTCCTGGCCTCACTCGGAGCCGCCCTGACGCTGCCCTGGCCCCCACCTGGGCAGCAGGACCCATGGCGTGTGCGTGAGCCGCCCTGACACCGCTGGGCCTGGCGGCTGGAACGTGTGTTGGTTTTCATAGTTCTCAGAGGCGTGTTTGAATAAAGAGTCTAAAGTTTAAGAGTTTAACTTGCAGCTTACGCTGAACAGCGCTGGAGAGGGCTGAAGGACGTAAGTTAGAAAGTGATGGAGTCAAAGCGCACTGCTCCCCCTGAGGGAAGCCCGCCCTCTCCGTGCTCACCATGGTTCCGCCGACTCCTCTTCACCTTCGTGGGGCCGCGTCGTCCAGTGTCTTAGGTGTCGCGGGGGCGTCCCCCCGGAGGCTTGCCGTGACTCTGGGGTCGGATCCCGAGAGGGTGTGGTGTGGACTTGGGTCTCTTCCCCCCTGAGACGGACCGAACTCGTGAGTGACATAAACGGACAGGTTGAAATGGCACCCAGGCCGGGCCCCGGAGCTGCCGGGGGTACAAACTCCTGAGAAGATGGGGCCCTGGTGGGAATGGAGGCCTTTGGGAAGCTGCACTTCTTCCAGAAAACAAAGTTTTGAGCCTGCAGGAAGAGTTAGGGAAGGATGTCTCTGGAACCCCGCCCCCACCCGCACAGAGCGGGGACAGATGCTCCAGGCAAGACAAGACATCTTTAACTCCTTTTTATTTATTTGTTTTTAATTGAAGTGCAGTCAGTTACAGTGTGTCAATTTATGGTGCACAGTGCAATGTCCCCGTCCACACATACACATAGTGGCGTTCGGTCTTGTTCATTAAAGGTAGTGAGTGTAGTTCCCTGTGCGCTACAGAGGAAACTTGTTTTTTAATCTGTTTTTATATATCGGGGCTAGCACTTACAGTTGAACTCCTCTCTCCAGTTGAGGTGTCACTGATGTACATCATTGTGCAGTTCAGGTGCACAGCATGATGGCTCCACATTTGTGTGTGCTGTGAAGCAGCCACAGTGACTCCAGATAAGGTCTCTCACTGTACAGAGTGTTTCTTCTCTTCTTGGGACGAGGACTTTGTCTTAGCACCTGTCACACATACAGCACAGCGCTGTTGACTGTAGTCCCCCTGCTGTACCTACAGCCCCAGGACCTCTGTTTTAAGACTGGAGGTCTACCTTTTGATCCCACCTACCCCTCAATCTGATCTCTGTTTCTATGAATTCAGTGTTCTAGATTCCACGTGTAAGTGAGATCATACACTATGTGTCTTTCTTTGTCTGACTCATTTCACTTAGCATAACACCCTCTAGGTCATCCATGTTGTGGCAAGATTTAACTCTTTTTACGGCTGAGTAGTATTCCATTGTGTAAATATACCACATCTTTATCCAGCCATCTGCTGAGGGACATTCAGGCTGTTTCCAGGTCTTGGCTGTTGTAAGTAGTGCTGCTGTGAACGTAGGGGTGCAGGCGTCTTTTCTGATGGGTGATTTCATGTCCTTTGGGTGTATCCCCAGAAGTGGAACTGCTGAATCGTGTGGCATCATCTCTCACCTTTTGATGACAGCCATCCTGACAGGTGTGAGGTGATAGCTCGCCCTGGTTTTGATTAATGTTTCCATGATGATGAGTGATGTTGGGTGTCTGTCCATGTGCCTGTTGGCCATCTGTGTGTCTTCTCTGGAAAAATGTCTGTTCAGGTCCTGTGTCCATTTTTAATCAGATTGCTCTGTTTTGCTTTGTTTCTTGCCGTTGCAGTGCACCAGTTCCTCATGTATTTGGGGTATTGGCCCCTTGTCAGGTGTGTGATTTGACAGTGTTTCCTCCCCTTCAGCAGGCTGCTTTTTCGTTTTGTTGACGGTTAGCTTTCTGAGCAGGGCAGGAGCGTTTTCAGTTGTGGCGGTGTTGCCAGGTCTCCCTGTGACTCCCCGGCGGCTGTGGTGCCTGCCCCCCGGGGCGTCAGCAGCGCAGCTCTGGCCGGTTTCCAGCTGCCTGGCAGGAAAGCAGGGCTGCCTGACAGTTTGTGAGGCACCGATCTGATTCCTCTCGCACGTGTGTCTGAGAGAACTTCCTTTTGTGTGAAACACCTGTGCATGTCCCTTGCCAATTTTTCTGTAAGACTGTGGTCTTTTTCTTACTGATTTTAGGAAATTTTTGTATTTTAAGGAAATCTGCTGTTGTGATAAAATGCTTTACAGTTTCCCCCATTTTATTATTTTTTTGACTTTACAGCATTTTTTCAATGCACAGTTTTACTATTTTAAGATATTTAAGTGTATCTAAGTTATGACTTTTTTATACATTCTATCTAAGTTGATGAATTGTGGCTTTTGTATCATAATTAGAAAAGCTTCCCCACTGAGACAGTGTTGAAAGGGCACACTTTTTTCAGACCTCATTTTAGTTTTTACATTCCTTTAAGAACTCCCTGCAGATGCTCCTGAGTACTCTCAGGCATAGCAAATCACTGTTTAAGAATAGATTTAGTTTTGAGAACAGTTTCAGAATCACTGGAAGGCTCAAACTGGAATAATCCATTTTCGGTTAAAATCAAGGATAGCTGTAAAGTGATGGGGCAGCTCCAAAGGGGGACGTTCAGAAGTGCACAGAGGCCCCGCAGGCCAGCAGTGTAAACGCAGAGCCTCCCGAGGTGGGCCCTGGAGGAGCCCCCTCGGGTGCGCAGTTTCTGGTGGAGCTGTCTTCAGGTGGCTTGTCTGGAGACTGTGAAATATGAGGAGGGGAGAGCGGTTTTCTCCCTCCGCTCCTCCACTCGTGCCTCAGCGCTCTGCCCTCGCTGCCTCCCTCCGCCACCAGGGATTTGGGGGTTTCCGCACCAGGCAGTTCTCAGACACAGTGTCCGCAGCGCAGCTCAGTTCCAACACTGCGCACTGGGTACTTCTGATCCACCAGCTATAAATCAGGTTCCCAAACCCCCTCTTCAGATGCTGTAATTTGCTAGAGAGGCTCACAGAACTCAGGAAAACAGCTTATGTCCTGTTGCCAATTTATGACAAAGGGTACAAGCCAAGCGGCAGATGGAAGAGCCGTGAAGGTGCGAGCTGCAGGGGAGGGTGGCTTCCAGCTCTGGGGCGAGCTGCCTGCCTGCACCTCTGCATCTTCCCCAGCCTGGAAGCCCTCCAAACCCTGCACGTGGGGCATTTGTATGGGGTCTGTGTAGGTGTGATGGATTGAGTCTCTGATTTCCCGTCTCCACCCCAGGGGGCATTGGAGAGGCTGAAATTCTGAGCTCTCTGATCTCTTGGTTGGTTCCCCGGCAACCAGCCCCCATCCAGTGGTTACGGGGGGGGGTGTCCCAAACTCACCTCATTAGCAAAAATTCAGGTATCATTGAAGGGCTGATAGGACTGAGGATGAAAGACCAAGCAGAACAAGAGATGCTCCCGTTGCTCTTGTGTGTAGGAAACCCCTAGGGCTGGGGAGCTGTGAGCCAGGAATAGCGACGGAGACCAAATACGTATTTCGTGTCGTGAATCACAACATCACAGTCCTAGAAGGAGGCTTTAGGTGGCCGGGGGCCTGACAGACGTCGGGCTGTTAGAGCCTGGCCCTGCCTCTGAGTGCAGACTCGTCGTCACGGGGTAGCTGCTGACCAGGAAGGGTGTCCTGAAGGAAGACAGCGGCTCATTTACCGCGTCCTGCCGGGTCAGCATCCAATGGGGCTCGAGGAGGGGTCCCTGCTCAGGCGAGAGGTCAGACCCGGCTACTCCAAGGGCTCTTCACACTCAAGATCCTTGGATTCGCCTTGAGAGGTACATCCAGCTCTGGCCAGATAAGCACACCCCATGTAGGCCACTCTGTCTCCAGTTACGGTAACAAAAGTGGCTGTGTCTGCAGCAGCTCTGCGTGTCAGGCGGGCATGGAGCCAGCTGCTCTCTTGTGTAGCCAGCGATTTACTCATCAGGCAGCCGTGGGCAGGTGCCAGTCATGGCAGCCATGCAGCCGAGAGGCTGGGCCTGACGGAGCCAGGGGCCGAGGATCCAGTCTGGAGGCCCCAGACCCTCAGTGCTGTGCCCCTCAAGTTAAGACTGTCTCCAGATGGATTTCTCATCACGGCAGGCCTGGCATGCAGCTGTTTATCAGAAGCAGGTTTCTCTGCTAAAGAATCAATCATCACAATAATAATGAGCATTGTAATAATTAGAAAACAGTTATAGTGTCTAGAGAAATAAAAACCAGCCCAGGCCTAACGGCCTTCATCTTTCTGATGGCCTCTGATGTCTTACTTTCCGTGTCACTGATTGGTGGGTAGAGGTCTCCGCTTAAAAGCTAAGTGCAGCCTGGGGAATCTTGGTGTCCGCCTGGGGCTTATGCAGCTCAGAAGCAGTCTTCCTCTATGACGCAACCTGTGTCAAGAGGCCTCCCTGGAGGTCAGAAGAGCGCCAAAGCTGGCGTTTGTGGCACAGAACCTGGGGCAGTGGGCTGGCTCCAGATGCAGCTTCCAGGGCATGAGGTGGTCAGAAAACATGGCTGGTGGTTTTCCAGACCCTCCTGGAGGGCAGCTCAGGAGCAAATGAGTTTGCACGTGAAGGTGGCAGAGCTCAGGGACCTGCAGGGGCTTGTCTAAGGCAGCAAGGAAAACGGGGCATATAAGTCAGGGTCTTCAGCTTCCTGGGGGGAAGATTCTAAGGGTTTTTAAATGACTTTCTATGCATTGGAATGTTACTTGGCAGTAAAACGATAGGAGTACTGACCTCTGCTCTGATATGGTGAAGCTTGAAAACATCAGGCCGAGGGGAGGAACCAAACACAAAACATCACGTAACTGCAAGACTCCGTTAACACAAAAACACCCAGAACAGGCAAACCCACAGAGATAGCAAGCAGATTGGTTGTCGCCTAGGGTGAGGGGCTGGGGGATACATGGGAGCAGCCGCTAATTGGTCTGGGTACAGGGTTTTGAGGGGAGAGAAGGTTCTAAATTTAGAGGATGGTGATGGTTGTACAACTGTAAAAATGCTAAGCACTATTGAATTGGGCACTTGAAGTGGGTAACTTATACCATGAAAATTATATCTCAGTGAAGCAGTTTACGAAACGAAGACTGGAACTCTGGGAAGGCCGCCACCTGAAACAGCAGATTTCCCTTCAAAGAGTTCCCTGTAGGCATCGTGTTCCGGTCTGAGAGCACATGAGCCTTTCTGCTTTGTTCAACTCTTAGGCTTTTTCTTTTAAGTTGATTTTTTTTAATTTTTAAAAATTTTATTTTTTATTTGACATATAACATTATGTTTGTTTCAGGTGTACAACATAGTGGTTCATTATCTGTACACATCGTGAAATCAGAAGTCCAGTTACCATCCATCACCTTATATAGTTACAAACTTTTTTCCTTGTTTTTTTTTCTTGTGTCAACAATATTAAGATCTATTCTGTAAGCAGCTTGCAAATATGCAATATAGTATTATTAACTATAGCCACCATCTATACATCACATTCCCAGGACTTATTTATTTTATCACCAGAAGTTTGTACCTCTTGACCCCCTTCCCCATCCCACCCACCCTAACCCCCCACCTCTGGCAGCTACCAATCTGTTCTCTGTGTCTGTGAGCTTGGTTTTCTTGTTTGTTTGTTTGTTTGTTTTAGATTCAGGGACTCCCTGAGCGTGGGGGCTGCAGAGGCGAGAACCATACTGGGGAGGCCCGTGAGTGCTGGCTGGGTATCCTTCCCAGGCGCTCACAGCCCTGCACACAGCCCCAGGCTCCATGGTTCTGGGGCTGCTTCTCTCCCCACCCCTAGCCCTCTCCCTGACCCCATCCCTGACCACTCACTCTTCTGCTTGCACCCTTTGGGAAGGGACACTTTAGAATGCCTGCTGGCTGTGGTCAGGGGCCTGCCTTCACCTGTTGCCTTCAGTCCCCCAGGCCCAGCCTGAGGACCTGCCAGGGAGGGGCTGAGACTGGCTTAGCAAGCTTTCCTGGTTGGGGTCAGTTTGCACGAGCAGGTGCTGGGCTCAGCCCTTGGCTGAGGGACTGTCCAATCTGCAGCCTGGGTAGGATGGTTCTGGGGAGCATCTGGGAGGCAGGGGAGACCATGAGGAAACTACTGTGGGAATTCCAGCAAGAGGACCCAAGAGAGCAACTGAGGATGGATGTGGGGAGACTGGACACCCAGGGAGCAAGATGGCTGGGGGCCCCAGACTCCCTCTTGGGGGACAGGCTTCTTACAGGGAGTCCTTGGGACCTTGGGAGAGAAGGCCTGGTGTTACGGGTGAACATCATGTGTAATAAAAGGCTTTTCCAGACGCCATGGGCTCACCCCCGCCCCGCTTTTGTGTCCACGGCTGAGGCTCAGCACCGTCCTTGGGTCTGCAGGCCCAGAGGCCGGCCCGTCTTAGAACCTCCCATGAGTGGGATTCTGCAGGCTGAGCTCTGTGGCGCTGCCTCCTCCCGCCCAACATCGTTGCTCCGCACGTTGGATGTGGTCGGGCATTCTCCGCTGCACTCTTCAGCTGTGGGAGTGCACCACAATTCATTTATCAGTGCAGCATCGATGGGCATTTGCCTGGTTTCTAGTTTGGGACTGTTTGGAATATTTGAATGTTATGAGCACTTCTGTTCATGGCTTTGGATTGGCATGAGCACTTACTTAGGTATTTTCTTTGGAGTAGAATTGCTGGGTGTTTGTTTAGCTTCAGTGAATACTGCCAGTTTTGCAAAATTGTACCAACCTGTAAGGACTCTTGTTGCTGGAGAAACTACAGGGGCCAAGATAGGCCTGGGGTGGGGCAGTGAGAGCAGCACTGAAGCCAGGGACCCGAAGAGGGCCCTGGGGAACAGCAGCAGCGGCGTGAGTGGTGTAGACCTGAGGGTTGCCGGTGAGCGAGTGAGCGAGTGAGCGAGTGAGCGAGGGGCTCCAGCCCAGGGCCTGCAGGTAGGAACCAGGTGAGAGGCTTTGGGGAGGGGGAGGAGCAGGAGGAGACACAGTCTCATGGCGTGGACAGGAAGAGAGGTGCTGGCAGGAATGGGCCACAAGTCCACGACCCCACCCTCAGCTGTGCATTTTGCGAAACTCAGCTGTATTCATTCACCCAGGGGTAAGTGGGTGGCCCCTGCAGCGCGCCCCGCCCACCACGTGACCACGCCCCCAACATAGCCCGTCCTCGCAGAGACCCCTCTCGGAGGCCGCGGCCCCGCCCGGCGCCGCGCGCAGGCGCGCTCCGCCCCGCCCCCCGCCGCCGCGGCGTAGGGCGCAGTGCGCAGGCGCGGCCGGGCAGCCGGCGTCGCCGGAGCATCCTCGGTGCGGGCGTGTCCCCGCGGCTGTGCCGGTCCTCGTCCTCCTCGTCCTCGTCCTCCGCGGGCGGCCGCCGCGATGGCGAAGCCGCTGACGGACGGCGAGAGGCGGAAGCAGATCAGCGTGCGCGGGCTGGCGGGACTGGGCGACGTGGCCGAGGTGCGGAAGAGCTTCAACCGGCACCTGCACTTCACGCTCGTCAAGGACCGCAACGTGGCCACGCGCCGCGACTACTACCTGGCGCTGGCGCACACGGTGCGCGACCACCTGGTGGGCCGCTGGATCCGCACGCAGCAGCGCTACTACGAGCGCGACCCCAAGGTGAGGCGGCGCGGGTGGGGAGGCACCCCCCCCAGGGCGGAGGGAGCGGTCCCCAGGGTGAGGGGAGACCCCCCAGGGTGGGGAGGGGACCCCCCCAGGGTGGGGAGAGACCTGCGTGAGGCGGTCCCGCACGCCCCGGTGCTGGGCGGCCTCAGCTGCGGGGAGGAGCCCTCAGGTCGGGAATGCGCTGCCCCAGGCGCGATCCCTCCTCGGAGAACTTCCTTGGGTTAAGGTCGGCCGACTTAAGGAATCTTCAGTTCTTTTTACATTTTCCCAAGTGTAGGCCTATGGTAGAAAAATACGAAGTACGCCGGAGAATGTCACTCATCTCCGTGATCAGCTGCGTCAAACACAGCTGTCCGTTCTTCCACGTCGTTTCCTGTTCTTAATTATATACAGACTTTTGAAGAAGCATGTGGTGCATACAGTTTTGTGGCTCTTCTGTTTCATGTGTAGCTTTCCCCACGGCTTTCCGAGTCACTGAACGTGATTCTCCTGTATCACTGGTGGTTTTCAGTTTGATGGATGTGTCACAGGCTTGGCCAGGCCCCTGCTGCCAGTTTTGTTTGGTTTTAGTTTTTGTTTTTCCCCTTGACCTTGGAGAGCTTTATCCTTTCTGTGACGCTAATATAGAGTGAAAACGGACGCACTTGCAGGCCCGACGCCAGTTTGCAAAGCCCTGACTTGCGGTGTCCTGGGCACTGGGCATGGCTTTAGTGATAGTATTTTACAGTATTTTTGTGGGGGGTTAAGAAATGTTTAGTAATTGCTAAGACTGAGACTGGGGGCTTTCCCAGACTTACTCTGGGGCCCTCTTTTTCTGAAAGAGGTGGTGGAAAGGACAGGTTTGTTAGGACACAGACTAGCCTCTTCATATTTAGTGTGCAAGACGGTGAAGAAGTGGCCCCAAATGGCTGAAACGGGTTATCTCAGCAGAGGCTTGGGATGAGTCTGCCAGGGAAGCTGGCCAAGAGGCAGTGGCTCCCCCAGAATTCCCTGCTGACGGCAGAGCTGATTTGCTAAATCATTGTTTTGTGTGGCAGGTGACGGTGGCATATCGCTGATGGCACTTTCAAGGGCATTTCCCTGCAGCTGAACCAGAACATACCCAACACTGTGGGGCCCCCTCAGAGTGCTGATGTTTAGATCCTGAAAAGGCCAGTGTGGGCTCAAGGGTTACGGAAATGACCTTTCATGAAGGAACTCATCCCTCTAACAAAACAGGGTTGGCTGCTCCTCACTGGGCTCTGCTGTGGCAGCTAGAGGCAAAACCTTTCTCTTTAAAGAAGCTGCACAGCCTGTGGAAGGAAGGTTGTCCGCCTCTCCCGGGTAGGAAGGCCATTTGAAAATGGAAGCTTGGAATTTAAGTGCTTCAATCTGGCTAATTCACGTTGAAAATAACCCCCTCATTTCCTTTTCCTGTAAAAGTTTCATGTTTGCTTGTAACGAAGAAACAAGCTCCAGGAGGATGAGAGGGTGAAGGGAGGTGGGTGGGATCCCAGGAATAACCCTGCAGAGCCCCACCCCGGCCTGGGGTGGCCTCAGCGGTGCCACCACTGCACTTGAGGCTTAGGTAGCCTGATGGCCAAACAATGCATTACAGTGCTTTTATTTGATATTTCCATTTACTTTAAAACAATTATGCAAGTCCCTGTTGTCAGAGAACAAACTAAAGAACAGATAAACCAGAAGGAAAAACCTAACTGTAATCTCACCACCCAGCTGTAACGCTAAATGCTACAGACATCTTGTGTTCCACACCTCCTGTGCTGTTTTCATCACGCACAGCAGCATCTGGCCACAGGCACCTACTGCTTCACAGCTCTTTCAGGCACTCTGTTTTTGGTAATAGCAGAAGCTGTGCTCAGAGGCGGCGTTTCCAAGTAAGCTGCCTGGCAAATTAGCAAGTCAGAAAATCCGGCTAAAATTGAGAGGATTGCACTTGGCAGGAGACAGCGCTGAGTTCTAAAGATAGCTCAGGGAGGCTCTGTTTTTTGTTTGTTTTAGTTTTTTTACTGAGGTGTAGTCGTTTTACAGTGTGTCAGCTTCTAGTGTACAGCATAATGTTTCAGTCATGTATATACACAGACATATATTTGTTTTCATCGTAAGTTACTACAGGATATTGAATATAGTTCCCTGTGCTTTACAGAGGAAATTTGGTTTTTATCTATTTTTTATATAATCATTAGTGTTTGCAAATCTCCAACTCCCAATTTATCCCTTCCCACCCCGTTACCCCTGCCCATAACCATAAGATTGTTTACTATGTCTGCGAGTCTGCTTCTGTTTTGTAGATAAATTCATTAGTGGCCTTTTTTTTTTTTTTAGATTCCACACACTAGTGCTATCATACGGCATTTTTCTTTCTCTTTCTTGCTTCACTTAGAGTGGCCGTCTCTGGGCCATCGGCGCTGCAGACAGCACTGTTGTGTGCTTTTTTCCAGGAGTCTCTGAAGCGATGGCAAGGTCCGGACTCCACTGTAAACTCAGGAGCAGAAGAGAGCAGGGGGAAGGGCCGGCTCACACAGCTCCAAGCTCCTTTAGCCCTAGTTCTGCCGTTCAGCCTGTTTGACCTTGGGCTTCGGTGGTTTTCTTAACCTTACTTCGCCTCAGGTTTTTCATCTTTAAAATGAGGAAGGTCATCTGGGTAATCTGTTTCGGAGCCCATAGTCATTCTAAAACATTATAGTTTTGTGTTTGTTTATAAAGTGTTTCCATTTTATATTGATACTCCATCCAAAAAGAATTTGAGAATGTTTAAGTGAGGTCTGACCCAAAAGGTTCCGCTTAACAGAAGACCTCATAGAGAAAGTTGGGGCGAGACAGTGAGGGTAGGAAAACAGGTCAAGTTCAGGTGCAGGTCAGGACACCAAATGCAGACACACATTCTGGCAGCCAAAGCAAATGGTGGGTCACATCCAGCTACCGAGTCAGGGGACCTGTGCAGCAGCTCCGGAACGGGCAGGTGCGAGACTTCTCCCACGGGTCTTTAAAGCGGATGTTGTACTACCATGTGGACAGCTGGTCCGACTGTGTCCCTGCAGTGGGTGGACTGGTCAGTTCTCCATGCTCTTCCCCATAAGCTCGTGGCATAACCGTAACGATAGACTGAGGGAGAGCAGTTCCACCACTGCGGCCCAGCTGTGGTCTCAGATGTTTCCAATAAGATAATCACAGTTAATCTTACTGTTTGGCTGAACTGGGAGTTAAAGGAAGAGAATCTAGACCAGCGTTTTGTAGTCTTGGCTGCCCACAACCCTCACCTCTTAAGTTTTGTATTAACTAGCCAGCAGTGAGACCAGCGCTGGAATTTTCTTGAAACACTCAGTCATCCTGATGTGTCTAAAGTGTGAAGGTGACCTTGTGTCCCCTGGGCTGGCTCCCCCGGGAGCAGAGGGCTCACAGAAGCTGAGGAGGGGCAGGCGTCTGGGCTGCCGGTCACGCCGACAGCGTGCCGAGGGGAAGGCGGGGTCACGCCGTCACTCCACGGGATGAGGAGGCCGCCGAGTGTGCCCTGGGCTTTTCGGAGGACAGTTCAGCCTCTGCTCCTGTGGGCTGTGATGGCTGACTCCCTGTGTCAGCTTGGCTGGGCTACGGTGCCTAGACATTTGGTCAAATATTATTCTGGATGTTTCCATGGAGGTATTTTCTGGATGAGATTAACATTTGAATCCGTGGATTTTGAGGACAGTAGATTACCCTCCATAATGTACATGGGCCTCGGATTACTTGCAGGCCTGACCAGAGCAGAGATGGACCCCCTCGCCCTCCCCCACCCCTCCTCCTCTCCCATCCCTCTCCAGCAGAAGGGATTCTCCAGAAGAAGGCCTTCGGAGTCCAGACGCAGCCTGTTCTTGGGTCTCCAGCCTGCTGGCCTGCCTCCCGGATTTTGGCCTTGGACCTCCATGATCGTGTGACCCAGGTCCTTGAACTAAATCTCTGGGTCTGTGTCCTGTTGGGTCTGTTCCCCTGACAGACACCCAGGTGCTGTGTGGCTGCGTCTTTGCGTCTTTGTGAACGACTGTACGTGATCGCTCGGCTGCATCCCTGCCCTTTTTAGATGATTTTTTAGTTTATTTTACATGATTTCAGACTTTAAAAGTTGCAGAACTTCCCATTTGCTCTCCACCCAGATTCTCCAGGCCTGACACATTTAAACACATTTGTTGTGTCTTTCTCTGTATAAATACACTTTTTTTCTGAACCATTTGAAAGTAAGTTTTGGACTTCGTACTCCTTTCCTCCTAAAAACTCATGTGTGTGGTTCGGAAAAATCAGGGAGACCCCCTTACAGACCACAGCGTCTGGAAAGAGCTCAGGACGCTGCCACGGCGGCGCTGCCCCTGCAGACCTTCCTGGGCAGGCCCCCAGGAGACCCACACAGTCGGAGCCACGAAGCAGACAAAGGCAGGCGACAGGTCGCTGACTCTGGCCTACACTCTGTGCAGAGTGGGGTTCTTAGGATATGGCTGAGGGGAGAGAAACGAACACAGAGATGTAGAAGAGCAACTGGACGGCAAAAGAATCTGGTTAACTGTTTTCAGCGGGATCTCCTGGAGCAGGAATTCTGCGTGATTTCGGTTTTAGCCGAGTGTCTTTTTCTCCACCTTGGAACGTCGTGTAAAGGTGAGAGGAGCCCTGTTTAAAACACTGACTTAAACGCCGAGCCGTAAATACAGCCCGACACGGTCCAGATCACGCGGTGTCGGCTGGCCGGGCTCTGGCCTCCGTCAGAGACTCGGAGACTCGCACGGTTACCTGGCTCGGGGGTGGGAGGGAGGGGGCAGTCCGTCGAGCTTCACAGCAAATCAGGCGAAGGCAGGGCTGTGAGGCTGCGAGGTCGCGGAGGCCACAGTAAGGTGGTTTCCCGCAGAACTGAGTGATCTCTGAGGTCCTGTAAGTTCTCACGTTCTGCACTTCACTGCAGTTTACATTTCCCAGCTTGACCTTGAGCAAGCAGACCTGTGTTCTAAGTACCAGCACCTAAAATAAAAAAG